TCCTGGGGAACCTCCTCTGCACCCTCTCCAAAGCATCCACATCCTTTTGGTAATGTGACGACCAGAACTGTATGCAGTATTCCAAATGTGGTCGAACCAAAGTCCTATACAACTGTAACATGACCTGCCAACTCTTGTACTCAATACCCCGTCCAATGAATGAAAGCATGCCGTATGCCTTCTTGACCACTCTATTGAACTGCGTTTCCACCTTCAGGGTACAATGGACCTGAACACCCAGATCTGTCTGTGCATCAATTTTCCCCAGGGCTTTTCCATTTACCGTATAGTTCGCTCTTGAATTGGATCTTCCAAAATGCATCACCTCGCATTTGCCTGGATTGAACTCCATCTGCCACTTCTCCGCCCAACTCTCCAATCTATCTATATTCTGCTGCACTCTCCGACAGTCCCCTTCGCTATCAGCTACTCCACCAATCTTAGTGTCATCTGCAAACTTGCTAATCAGACCATCTATACCTTCTCTCCAAATCATTTATGTATATCACAAACAATAGTGGTCCCAACACGGATCCCTGTGGAACACGACTGGTCACAGTTCTCCATTTTGAGAAACTCCCTTCCACTACAACTCTCTGCCTCCTGTTGCCCAGCCAGTTCTCTATCCATCTAGCTAGTACACCCTGGACCCCATGCGACTTCACTTTCTCCATCAGCCTACCATGGAAAACCTTATCAAATGCCTTACTGAAGTCCATGTATATGACATCCACAGCCCTTCCCTCATCTATCAACTTTGTCACTTTCTCAAAGAATTCTATCAAGTTGGTAAGACATGACCTTCCCTGCACAAAACCATGCTGCCTATCACTAATAAGCCCATTTTCTTCCAAATGTAAATAGATCCTATCCCTCAGTATCTTCTCCAGCAGCTTCCCCACCACTGACATCAGGCTCACAGGTCTATAATTACCTGGATTATCCTTGCTACCCTTCTTAAACAAGGGGACAACATTAGCAATTCTGCAGTCCTCCAGGACCTCACCCGTCCTCAAGGATGCTGCAAAGATAACTGTTAACGCCCCAGCTATTTCCTCTCTCGCTTCCCTCAGCAACCTGGGATAGATCCCATCCAGACATGGGGACTTGTCCACCCTAATGCCTTTTAGAATACCCAACACTTACCCCCTCCTTATGCCGACTTGACCTAGAGTAATCAAACATCTATCCCTAACCTCAACATCCGTCATGTCCCTCTCCTCAGTGAATACCGACGCGAAGTACTCATTAAGGATCTCACTCATTTTCTCTGACTTCTCGCATAACTTCCCTCCTTTGTCCTTGAGTGGGCCAACCCTTTCTCTAGTTACCCTCTTGCTCCTTATGTATGAAGAAAATCCCAAAGCCTTTTACTTAACCCTGTTTGCTAAAGATATTTCATGACACCTTTTAGCCCTCTGAATTCCTTGTTTCAGATTGGTCCTACTTTCCCGATATTCTTCCAAAGCTTCGTCTGTTTTCAGTCACCTAGACCTTTTGTATGCTTCCTTTTTCCTCTCTGCTAGTTTCACAATTTCACCTGTCATCCATGGTTCCCTAATCTTGCCCTTTCTATCCCTCATTTTCACAGGGACATGTCTGTCCTGCACTCTAATCAACCTCTCTTCAAAAGCCTCCCACATATCAAATGTGGATTTACCCTCAAACAGCTGCTCCCAATCCACATTCCCCAGCTCCTGCCGAATTTTGCTATAGTTGGCCTTCCCCCAATTCAGCACTCTTCCTTTAGGACCACTCTCATCTTTGTTCATCAGTATTCTAAAACTTACGGAATTGTGATCACTATTCCCAAAGTAATCCCCTACTGAAACTTCAACCACCTGGCTGGGCTCATTTCCCAACACCAGGTCCAGTATGGCCCCTTCCCGAGTTGGACTATTTACATACTGCTCTAGAAAACCCTCCTGGATGCTCTTTACAAATTTTGCTCCATCTAAACCCCTAACACTAAGTGAATCCTAGTCAATGTTGTGAAAATTAAAATCTCCCATCACCACCACCCTGTTGCTCCTACATCTTTCCATAATCTGTCTACATATTTGTGCCTCTATCTCACGCTCGCTGTTGGGAGGCCTGTAGTACAGCCCTGACATTGTTACCGCACCCTTCCTATTTATGAGCTCTGCCCATATTGCCTCACTGCTCGAGTCCTCCATAGTGCCCTCCTTCAGCACAGCTGTGATATCCTCTTTGACCAGTAATGCAACTCCTCCACCCCTTTTACCTCCCTCTCTATCCCGCCTGAAGCATCTATATCCTGGGATATTTAGTTGCCAATCTTGCCCTTCCCTCAACCAAGTCTCGGTAATAGCAATAACATCATACTCCCTGGTACTAATCCAAGCCCTAAGTTCATCTGCCTTACCTACTACACTTCTCGCATTAAAACAAATGCGCCTCAGACCACCTGTCCCTTTGCGTTCATCATCTGCTCTCTGCCTACTCTTCCCCTTAGTCACACTGACTTCATTATCGAGTTCCTTACAGGCTTTAGTTACTACCGCCTTACTGTCCACTAACCTCTTCATTTGGTTCCTATCCACCTGTCACATTAGTTTAAACCCTCTCCAACAGCGTTAGCAAAAGCACCCCCTAGGACATCAGTTCCAGTCCTACCCAGGTGTATACCAATTTGTAACAGTCCCACCTCCCCCAGAACCGGTCCCAATGTCCCAAAAATCTGAACCCCTCCCTCCTGCACCATCTCTCCTGCCACTCATTTATCCTGCCTATTCTTTCCATTTCTACTCTGACGAGCACGTGGCACTGGTAGCAATCCTGAGATTACTACCTCTGAGGTCCTACTTTTTAACTTGGCTCCTAACACCCTAAATTCTGCTTGTAGGGCCTCATCCCGTTTTTTTACCTATATTATTGGTGCCTATATGCACCACGACAGCTGGCTGTTCACCCTCCCCCTTCAGAATGTCCTGCAGTCGATCTGAGACATCCCTGAACTGTGCACCTGGGCGGCAACATACCATTCCGGAGTCTTGTTTTCAACCACAGAACCGCTTATCTACTCCCCTTACAATCGAATCCCCTATGACTGTAGCCCTTCCACTCTTTTTCCCGCCCTTCTGTACAGCAGAGCCAGCCACGGTGCCATGAACCTGGCTACTGCTGCCTTCCCCTGGTGAGCCATCTCCCCCAGCAGTATCCAAAACGGTATACCTGTTTTGGAGGGAGATGACCGCAGGGGACACCTGCGCTGCCTTCCTGCTTTTTTTTCTGCCTTTTGGTCACCCATTCCCTTTCTCCCTCAGCAATCCTAATCTGCGGTGTGACCAATTTGCTGAACATGCTATCCACAACTTCCTTAGCATCGCGGATGCTCCGAAGTGAGTCCCATCTGCAGCTCCAGAGCCGTCATGCGGTCTAACAAGAGCTGCAGCTGGACACACTTCTTGCACGTGTAGGAGTCAGGGACATCAGCCGTGTCCCTGAGCTCCCACATTGAGCAAGAGGAGCATAACACGGGTCTGGGATCTCCTGCCATTTTTACTCTTAAGCTTAACTTAGTCCTACTATAATAATAAATACTAGATAAATGAAATGAAGAAAATTTGTACCAAATCACTCTACTTACCAGCACACGATTAAAAAAAACAAAAACAAAACAAAAACAAAAACACTTACCTTATCAACACCCCAGAGTCTTTTTTTTCGGTCAGAGGAGGAGGGTGGGTGGGAGACACTACATGTGTAGTGTTTCGGGTGTAGCCACTGCCCAAATATATCAGTTCACTCACTTTCCGAGAGCGCAATTCGACTGCTCCCACTCAGCTCCGCTGCCGAAATGAAGAACTTACCTCCCGGCAGGCCCCTGGTCCTCGCTCTCACCGCTGCCGCTGCTGCAAAAAATGGAGGCCGCTGATTGCACGAAGTAAGTTTTTAACTGGGAAACTTACCTCCCGGCAGGCCCTTTAGATATACCTTATGTCTAAATCATTAATGTACATAACATACCTTAAGAGATCCAGCACTGAATCCTGTTGTACACCACTGGACACCGACTTCCAGTTGCAAAAACCATCACCCTTTGTTTCCCTGCTACACAGCCAACTTCAGACCCAATTTGACAACTGCTCTTAATCAGCCTGTCATGCAAGACCTTAAAAAGCCGTGCTGAAGTCCAAGTAGAGTACACCAACTGCACTCCCTTTATCAATACACCTCGTCACCTCCTTGGAAAATGCAATCAAAATTTGTTAGACATGATCGCTCCCTTACAAAGTCATGCTGACTATCCTGAATTAAACCTTGTCTTCTGTCCCTCAGAATGTTTTCCATTTGGAAAGGCAAGGATTAATCAAGGATAATCAATGTGGTACCCTCATTACTCAAGAAGGATAGATGATAAACCAGGAAACAACAGGTCCATGAGCCTAACATCTCTGGTCGGTATTAGAAACTATTAGAAATTAATTCTATGCCTTAGATTATCCCTACCACTCTTCTTGAATAATGGTACCACATTAGCTGTGTTCCAATCCTTTGGCACCCTTGCCGTAGCCAGAGAAAATATAAAAATTACTGTCAGAGCAATCTCCTCCCTTGCCTCCCATAGCGGGCTTGGATACATCTCAAATGGACCAGGAGGTTCATCCATTTTCAAGCCTACTAAAACCACTAATAACTCCTCCCTCTCAATGTTAATTTGTTCAAGTGTATCACAGTCTCCTCCCCTGATTTCTAGATGTACATCATCCTCTCTATTGTGAATATAGATACAAAGTGCTCATTTAAAACTGAAGCAATGTCTTTTGGTGCAAGTCAAAAGCAAAGTTTAGGTGGAACTAGTACTGTGGTCTCTGTAGTAATGAAATAATATATTCCGAACTATTGGCAGGATGATATTTTATGTCCACTTTACTGTCATGGCTTCACCAGAACAATCAAGCCATTTTAATCCTGATGTGTTGTGGAACAGAAGAAACCAGTACGATTGGAGTGCTAAGTTTGTCTAAACAAACAACAATATTTCAATTTCTTTTATTTATAGCAAACATTCAAGAAAGGATAACTGCACAGTATAAGCATCATTTAGCTGCAAGAATTCCCTTTCCAGTGATGTCAAAGCAATAGTGTAGTGCCATCCTTTCAATCATTCAATTAGCAAATGATCAAAGTGCAATGTTTGAAAGTTTCAATGAAAGGATAACACACAAATTGTTTTCATTGGTGATCCAGTCTGGAACGATGATGTGCATAAGATGTGCAGTTAATGCAAGGATTTCAAACAAAACCAAATCTCTTAAGTTGATTATATAAATGCATGAGTTACCATAGAAATTTATATCATAGTGGGAAATCAATTTTCGATAATACTCGAATACAAACTGTTCAAATATTTGCTCAAGAAATCCTCTCTATTTCTCGCAAAAGCTCCATTAGAAGTGTTCAGAAAGAACAATGAGAAATTAATGATAAGATAGTTATTCCATTACTGGTTCAGAAGTATGACCTTACCCAGAAATAAGCAGGATTGTGCAAGACTAGACTTTTAGATCCGTACATTCATGATAATAGTAAATTACAAACAAATCAATCTATTACAAGTGAATGTAACATACTACACAATATCAGAAACCATTCCAGTGAACAAGGCAAGAAGTTTGAAAAGACAGCTTACAGACTGCTTGCCTATTTTAATCATCACCATGGCTACCTCATCGAAGCTGACAGTTGTTAATTCTGCAAGCAACCAATGCCCTTAAAAAAAAATTGGCAAATCTTTTGCCTCCCTCATATTTAAAAACACTGGACTGAGGTAAGATTCTAGTACAATCAACAAAAGAATAGGTGCACGACAATTGAATTCAAAATAGGAATCTGAAAGAATCTACAATTCCTAATGAAAATATAGTCAGAAAAAATGTTACTATTAAAAGTCAGAGGTCATTTTACCATTTGAATATACACCAAAGAAAATAGTTAAGCATGTTAATAATTTGCTTAAATCAATTAATTTTTGAATTAGTACTTAAAACATTTTAAAACGTTAGCTATCTCAAAGATGGTATCATTTTAAGGGTGGTTCTAAAATTTATTTGTTGCCTTATTTTGATAAGAAAATGTTACTGTATTGAGATTGGAGTTTAGTACAGAGGAGTGCTACTCAGACGTGCCAGGAAAGAGACCAGATCACTGTATGAGCCATAGGATGACACATCTAGCTAGTGGCAGCTGAATGTATACAAATCATACAAATCCAACAGCCACATCCACAGATAAAGGAAAATGTTTTGGGAGTGTGGGGAAGACAAGGGCCCATCAGGTCTATGTGGCAGGGAGTGTCCAATAAGCCAGGGAACCAAGTAGAGAGAAAAACAACTATTTCCTCTCCTGTCCCAAACTCGTGGGTGCACTTGTGCATAATTTTCAAATGCTCCTATTGAATTAAACAGTTAAGAGTAATACCCTGAGAAACATACTCAGTGCACATTGAATAAAATGCTCACAGCAGAATTACGGACTGATCTGAATGTTTTACGATAATAGATAGCCATTGATTTCAATAAGCATGTTGGAATAAAACCAATCTCAAATCAGGTTACAAGTTGATCAGGTGGGCTCTCTGCTTGTTTCATTTATTCATGATAAAATGGCTAAATTAACCCCCAAGTTACCAATCTGTAAGAGAATCAAGCAGCTGGGCTTCAACCTGGTGCAATTTTACCTTCAACATCCATGTAACGCATAAAAACAGAAACAATACAGTTTACAGAAACAGTTCCCAAAAACTATTTTATAGTAAAAATCTTTAAAGAAAAATATTAAAGGGACTGTAAAAATCCAAATTTTTCTGCCTCAGAACTGTTCTTTGCTATTTTGACAATTTTCTTTAGACTTGACTTAGAGGACTTATCATACAAAAGTAACTCAAATTCCTTTCGTACAATTCCCAAGATTTCACACTGTAGCATTTTGCTTTGGTGCATTACACAGCTCAAGTAGGTTAAAGGCACAAGCACATCACAGGATGCTGAAGGCCTTTTTCTTCTTTGGGAAAAACAGGTCCCACTTCAGCTGAGGCCGCAGTGTACACGCTTTTGCATTACAGATGTAGCCTTTTGGGCAACAGTGCAGCTGATCTTCACAGCAGGTGGCCTGAAAAGTAATGAAAATGTTAATGTTACATTACAGCAATCAACAACCGTATAACATCAGGTCACAGAGCAAGAATGAGCGGTATGTTCAAAGGGATTTGGAGCCTTTCTAAGATAACGAGAATCATTATGGCCCAGATGAAGACTATTTGGTCCAACAGGTCCATGCCTCTCTCTAGAGAATTACAATCAGTGCCATTTCTTGTTCTGTCCACATAGCCAGCACATGTAGTTCCCTATAGTACTCCCCCAGTTTTGTTTTGGAATCATGGTCTGCACTTACACCATGTTCTAGGTTATTAGCACTTGTATTATGTGGTTCTTCCATGTATCCTATTGTTACAGGTTTTATTTCACCTAAGAATCCACCTGATGCTCAGCGCTCCATTTGCTAATCTGGGTTGAGAATCAGAGTTATGGAAAGATATTTGTCAGGATACCAGAATCAAAACCAGAACAATGAACAAAATTAACACTTTGTATCCATTTTTGAATTACTGTTTCTTGTGTAGGCCAAGCTGCCTTACGCGTACAAAAATAACCATTTGTTGAAGGCTAAATGTATAAAGTACATGCTGGAAAAGAGATTAAACTACTGGCACCATTTTACATGATTGTGACTAAGTTTGAGGGGGAGGGAGGAGGGGGCGCAGGAGTGTTAGGTGGCCCACTGTTGAGACATCTCACCTCACTACTCACTAATCAGCTCACGAAGGGCAATTTGGTTGAGCTTTGGTAACTTCCTGGACCTATAGAGGGCCTCAATACTGGTGGCCTGGGTCAGCAGAACTGGCTACTAACGTCTGAGTGCTAAAGACCTTCTCCTCAGGGGATCCAGCACAGAGAAAGTAAGGATACTTTTGTCTTCTCGTCTCAGGCAGAGGGGACGGAGGCAAAAGTAGAGGGGTGGCTTTCAGAGGCCATGCCCTTGCAAATCATCCATGCTTCCAATTGCTCCAGATTGCCCCCACCAATGCATCAAGTAGATTGCCTTGCTTACCCAATTGGGAACTAACCATCATTCTCACCTGCCAGGAACACACATAAATGGGGAGGTAGTGAGTTGAAGCCTTAAGTGGCCATTAATTGATTACTTAAGGGCCTCAACTGATGGCAAGTTGCAAAAGTCTCCAGTGGACTTGTCCTCTAACAAGAGTAGGGCTCTGTGGTACAGTAACAGTGTCCCTGCCAGGAGGCTTGAGTTCAAGTCCCACCTGCTCCAGAGGAGGGTAATATCATTTCTGAACAGGCTGATTAGAAAAGATCATCCCTAGTAAAACAGATGTCATTGGGAACTGAGGTGGGGTCTGGTTGTAGTCATACCTAAGGTAAAGGAAAATGGTTTTGATTGCTGGAGGTCAATCATCTTAGCGCTATGACATCACTAATGTTTAAATAGTGTCCTCGATCCAACTATCACCAGCTTTTTCATCAATGACCTTCCTTCTATCATAAAAGCAGGAGTGGGGATCTTGCTGATGACTGCACAATATCCAGCACTATTCGTGACAACTCGGAAACTGAAGCACAGCGTGCTGAAATGCAGCAAGTACTGGACAACATCAACCCTAAATGTGGCCCCTCGATGTTCAATGGCATGACCATTGCTGAATCCCTCACAATCAACATCCTTGGGATTTTCATTGACCAGAAACTGACCTGGACCAGTCATGTAAACACATGGCTACAAGAGCAGGTCAGAGGCTAAGAATTCTGCAGCGAGTAACTCACATAACCCTAACCCAGTGCCTGTCGGCTCTCCACAATGCGAAAGGTGGGGGTGTTAGAGAATACTGTCCACTTGCCTGGACGAGTGCAGCTCTTATAACGCTTGAGATGCTCAACATCATCTAGGGCAAAGCAGCCAATTGATTGGAACTCCAACCAACACCTTCAACATTTGCTCCTCCTCACCACTAACAACAGTGGCAGCAATGTGTAGCATGTAGGAGATGCATTGAATTAGCTCACCAAGGTTCCTCCAACAGCATCTATCAATTGTGATTCCTACCTCCTAGGAAGAGGATAGCCGCAGAAGCATGGAAACACCATCAATTGTAAGACCGTGTCCAAGCCGCACACCATCCTGATTTAGAACTATATCAATGTTAGGGCGTTGGCTACCCATCAAAGATAAGTGTTAGTCAAGGAGGCAGCTCCCATTACCTTCTCCAGGTCAATTAGGTATAGGTAATACTAGCAACACCCAGATCCCATGGTCAAATAAAAAATGACCTTCTCACCCAGATCCATTATTGGTGATATGGCAAGGATCTCGACAGAGCCAACTCTAACCGTCTATTTCTCCTTCCTGCCACCTGCAATTGGGGGAAAATTATGCCCCAAGTCTTTAAACTGACAGGAGTCAGTTAAACTTCCATTTTGCAAGTGAGTAAAGTTGATCTATCTCATAAGTTCCCTTTTATATGTTTGGGACAAAGTATTGTGGAATTTGCTCGTCCCATTGACGTTAACATTTCTATGTCTGAAGACTCAGATTTATGTTCAGAAGACAGTACAATTTTTTAAAAAAGTTTTCATGGTGACTGGATGATTGTGGGAAGGCCGATTTTATGTCTCACCTCCAGCTATGTTGAGGTGAAGGTGCAGATTGTAATACCCCAGCCCATGTACTGTTTTGTGCCTGATAACCAGCAACTTTGCTCTGTGTTGGAAATGATTTTGGACATGTTGCAAATTAATTTGGGCTTGAAAAAGATATATTTGTTTCAACTTGAGGAGTGCAATTTAATCCTGATTATAAGTAGGGTTTGCTAACCTGGACAACTCAACTTTGGAGGACCTGGGTTTGAGGCCTCTGCTGTTCAGCACAAACACTTTTGCTCCTACGATGGAGTACAGTCCAGTTTGTTGCACATCTTCAACAGAGAGCAACTATTCTGAAAAAAAATCTTGAAACTCACTTTGTAACATGCTAAAGGGGCTGATGGGCAAACTCCATTCCTATGCAATGTTTCAATAAGCTAAACATTTCCTCCTAAACATTTACACTTTCACTGTCTGAGATATTTTGAAGAAAGGAGTTTTCCTCCCTAGGAAGATATTTCCAGCTCAAATTAATAGCCTGTGAAACAGAACTTCAGAAACTAGATATGAGACATTACCACTCTAATCAGTGAAAAATCTGACGTACAAGCTCAACTAAGGAACTCTACAATCAACCATCTCAAACCAACGTTTGCTTGCTGGGTTTAATTATGAAGAAGTGAATTTGTTTAAACTCGGGCTATTCCATTGTGATATTACACAAAAAGGCAATCTACACAAAGTAGGTTTGAGGCCAGGGAAATTACAAAGGATCAGAAGAATCTCGTGATAATATAGTTACAAGATTTGTGATCTGGCATTCAACACTAGCTGCCAGCACTGAGACACCAATGAGCTGATACCAAAGCAAGCCACCTAAAGCAACTATGATTCATATGACTAAAGACGGAAATGTATAAATAATCTGCAAAAGATAACGTCCCATGCACTTTACCTAAAAAGATATTTGATCTTGCTGAAACATGCTGATGCCACCAAAGCTTCATATAATCTAATTGGGCTCCAGTTTATCCCTGCTCCACATTCTTTCCCCCTTCAAGGAAGACATCTCTGAATGTTAGCACATAGCTTCATATCGTCTTGCAATACTAATCTCGTTTGGAAGTTATCATGAATGAGCTTTCTACTGTTTCAAGGTGACTAGGTAGTAATTAAGCATTGGAAATCTATTGTTCTCTTCTGTGCATCTGAAGGACTCAACTTCAACTGATCAGCTTTCTCATCAATCTAGCTCAGACTAGTGAGTTCATCACGGAATCTGGTGCCTTAAGGTCATTATTGTGCAGTGCTGAGATGGCAAAATCAATTCATTGAGAGAGCAGAGTGCAATTTCTGAAACACTTACTTGTTCATATGGACAGCAAGCCCAGCCCCCTGAAGAAATCTTACAGCACGTGGCTGGAGACTGGCAGCGGAACGTGTCATCACATTTTACATCAGAGAGGGGCGAATGTTTGACCTTCCAAGGTACAGAAAGGTTTTGCTTTTCACAGGTTCCAGCCTTCACATTACAAGTGTAGCCATGCGGACAGCAGTGCTCATGATCCTCGCAGCACACAGCCTATTGGAATTACAAGGAAATCTTCAGTATCATCTCAATACCTTGGAAGTCCCTTCTTTTTGAAGCATGCAGTTGTTTGCAAAAACCTGATCTCAAGACAATTCAAATCTAAAATTTATAACATTAAATGGGGAGGAGCTATTAAAACTACAACTACAAACAAAAGGTCGCACTACTTATTGTCTTGATTAGAAAATGGACAAATCAATAATAGAACCTTGTAAAACATGTAGAGGTTCACTGCAGTAGTTTATTGGAATTGAAACTTGCATTCATAGCCATTTTATTTGCTTCTATGAACATTATATTAACTCCTGAGTAAAAGGATGTTTGAACTGTGACCTTCACTAAACCCATGCAACTCCATTTCACCTGTAATTCTATTTTGTGATGTATTTACTATGTTGGTAAAATTTATGATGCCACTTATGAGACGACATCAATATAGGTCATCACTATTTTTGTTTACTGAACAACCATCCATCTGAGTGAGAAAATCCCTCAGATCCACCACAAATACATTAAGCATAGCGCATTGGAAGCAATCGCTTGAAGTAGCTATAAATTGACAGCCAGCACTGGAGGGTTTCATAGCTTTAACTGCCGTTTGTCAGACTTTCTATCCAGGGATCTGCACAAAAAATATCAACATTTGCCCAGCACACAGTCCATCAATGGCAGTTTGAGAAAGGAAAATGAGTCGATTATTTGCTCATAACAACAATTAAACCAATCAACTTTAAAACGGAGTTTAAAAAGTCAATAGCAAATAAAACGCTGGTGAACAGAAAGGGAGTTAGGTGGATATTAATCAGTAGAGGTTTATGATCTTTATATTAATGACATAGTCAAAAGAAATAAGTTTTCCTAGTTTAATTTCCTAGTTAAATTAATACTCTTTAACAAATGGGGCGTGAAAACAGATAACACTTGGGAGAAAACATTTTCACTTGTAATTTAATCATAGGGTCATGATGAGGAACAGGACAAGAGGAAATGCAAAATAAAATATTTCCAGTTTTAACAAAACGGATTCAAATTGATGGTTTTACAAATTTAAATAAATAAATATTCAACTTTATATACTTAAAGAGGTGTGTAAAGGACTAATAGATTTTATTCCTCACTGCATGAAATGATGTTCTAAATGTAAGGTTCTGAACTGACCTCTGCCCACTACCTTCCATATCTGATTCTGTAAATCAGCACTTAAACTACAAGCAAAGTACCTGTATTGCACATCTAGATTAGAAGTACAGAATTACTGGTCCCTCCTATTGGAGTCAATTCAGAAGTTCTATAATTATTTGGACTAACAATTTACCAAATTTATTCCATATTCGCTATAAGCCTAAGTTGGAGATTCAGTAACATTACGACTATCTTCCACACTTTGATATTTGCTTGATCCTCACAGAAAGCACATGTATGTATAGATATAAGACAGACATTAGCAATCTTCTTGATTCTAATGTCATCCATATGCTAGGACCTTTGGAAATGGAAGTGTTCTAGGTAGATGAAGTACTAAAGTGCATGTGCCACTTGTGGAATCACACACCAACACCAGTCAATGTCTTCAAGACAGAAAATTGGAGGTTGGGGTGCAGGCTAAGGGGAGGGGGCCAAGTAGAAGAGAACAACTGTAGGGAGTATAAGACAGATAGGAGAGAGAGAAACAGAACAGAGGAAAGGGAGGGGTTGAGAGAGTTGAGGAAGATGAGGTTTGGTATCTTTTTTCATTTGATGCTCAAAATAAAGCCAGTATTTGAACCATGTATACAATCTGCAATAAAAGAACTGCAGGCCCATAAACAGCAATCTTCTGAAATCAAAAGGAAGCCATTTTTCCAATACATGTAATCCCTTAGCACAGGCAAAATACACCCTGGTGCAATGTAATGCAGTACTGACTGCCTACACGAAGCAGACTAACAAAAACTTTATAGAACATATGAAATGGTTTACAATGCCACTGAACATTAACAAGAGCACCTGGTAAGATTCAACAGACAGCACTGATGAAAAGCAGAGGGAAAATTCACATTCTTGTCCAAAACATTAATAATAACCAGCTTTTTAGTTACTGGTTTAATCCAAGTGATAATACACAGTTTATTTGAAAAAATGTTAATCTGCACTTGTTGTCGTCCCTCATCAGGGTAAGATGCCTGCTGCACAAATACATAATTTCAAGTCCTCCTTTGTTGTCCTCCCATATTTTGGTCAAGTGGCCACTAGTCAGGCATGAACTTTGAATGCTGTCAGAATATTCAACAATCCAGCGTTCAGCCAGCATCCATACATATTCATTTCCAGGAGGAGTCAGTATAAACCCATCAGGCTGAATTCAAATATTGGACAATAATTCCCCCTCCAATAAAACTGCCCTGGCTGCAATCAGCCAAACTACTGCAGACCAACCGGAGGCCACCATTATTTCATACAAAGCAAAATACTGCAGATGCGGGAAATGGAAAACAAAGAGAAAATGCTGGAGAAACAAAGCAGTCTGGCAGCATTTGTGGAGAGACAATTAACATTTTGGATCTGACATGACTTCTTCATAACTGAAAGCAGATGGAAAACAGTGTTTGTTACAGTGGGGAAGGAGGAACGAGTAGAATGGATAGTGAAAGTACCCAGAGCAAAAGATAAAGGGAGTGACAACGGTGCTGAAGGTGAACAGAGATGCAAAAATAAGTGCAAACGTTAAGTGTGAAAAGAAACAAAAATGGGTTTGCTCTGTTGAGAGCAAAGTCTCAGGCACAAATAAGACATGGTTGGAGGTGGGGTGGGAGTTATAATTAAAACAGAGCATAGTGGTCATGCTCTGCAATCATTAAACTCAATGTTGAGTCCTAGAGACTGTCAGGTGCCTAAGTGAGGTAATGATTGTTCCTCCAAGTTGCATTGAGTTTCATAGGAACATTGTAGCAGACCTAGAATGGAAATGTTAGTATTGGTGCAAGATGGTTTATTGAAATAACCAGCAACTAGAAGATGGGGATCATTCTTATGGACAGAATGGAAATGTTCCGCAAAGCAATCTCAGAGTCTGCATTTGGTCTCGCAATTGCGAAGGAGATCACTTTGTGAGCAGCAAATATAGTAGACTATACTGAAAGTAGTAAATGTAAAACGCCACTTCACCTGGAAGGTGGTGAAAAGGCAAACGTTACATTTTCTGTCAATGCATGGGAAGGTTTTGTTTGTGTGGGTGTGCAGTGAGGAAGCATTAACAGCATTGGAGGAGTGAATCAGGGTTTCATAGAGGAAACAGTCCCTGTGGAATACTGACAGTGGAGAGGAAGGGAATATGTGTGTTTAGTGGTGTTTTGCTCCCAGAGGTAGCAGAAAAAGCAGAGAATGATCCTTTGAATGAAGAGACCAGTGAAGCAGAAAGTGAAGACAAATAGCACCTTATTGTTCAGGGAGAGAGGCAAAGGGTTGAGGGCAGAATCGCAGAAAATAGGTCAGATTGAGCTGACAGACCAGTCAAACACAATGGGGGAACCACCATTATCTCTACAGTTCAGAAATGAAGACTCCACCTCAACTGTCAATGACCTGGTTGTTGCAGGGGAAACTCTTGACTGTCACCACCCTGGGCAACGCATCAGAAAATTGCCTACCTTTAACACCTTAATCTTGAAAATTAGGGGCTGGGATGTAATATTTCCCAAAACCTATTCTCTGTAAATATTCAGTAAAACAAAAATCTTATGGCAAGGTCCATCTGTTAACATTGACCCGAGTGCTAGGAAGATAGACATACTGGCATTTAGATTATAAAGGATCACAGCCATTGTGACAAGGTCAGACATCCCAGCACTCATTCCTAATTTTCATGCTTAGTACTTTATAAATGGCTCATCAATCACACAAGTTCAGAACTGGTCATAACTCCCGTGCAGCATCCATGTGCATCAGAATTATAAATTATTATTGTTCTCACTACTGGGTAACAATTTTGTCTAAGTCCAATTTTAAACAATTAAAACAAGGAATTAAATATTTTAAGGTACGGTTTAGCACAATGACATCCAACTTTCGATTTTTGTCAAAAAAAATCCAGCTTTTCAAGACTTATTCTCATCCTTTTCCCACATTGCATCATTCCACAATTACAGACTGGTACCATTAAAAGAGGAGCTGGTAATTCTAATATTGACTTCCCAATTTCCTGCAGCTTCCTCATCCCATATTCTGATCACATTTACCAGTTCCAGTGTAATACTTATACGTACCAACACCAAATATAGAGCTATTTTCACAATGTGGTTCAACTCCACAAGGTGATTTTTAAAAAATTACCAACTAGTTTGTCAATTTTCTCCCTTGGATTTTACCAATTTTAAAGGCCTCAAAAAAGGTCATGCAGATACTGTTTCAAAAACCTGATAAAAGCTTCACATACAGAAGTAAAATAATACAGCTGGAGGAAAGGTGAAATAAATGCTTAATAAATCAGGCGGCATCCATTCGAAAATGTTTCAGATCAGTAATGGTGCTTCTTTAGAACGATAGTAAAGTATGAAATATTAGTTACCTTACCAAATAGCAAAAAATACTGGGCAAAATCTATTGTAAAGCAACTATGGAATACTGTTGTTTGTGTTCTGTGCCTGCTACAGAAACAAAATTTGGTGATCTTTAATTCCAACAATTTTTCAACATGAAAGTTCTCATAAAAACAAAGGGAGAACTTACCAGAGTCAGAGGACAGCAACCCCAGGCTCCTGAGCGCTGTTTACAGCAGGTATTGCCGGAGGGACAGCTCATAGTGTCATCACACTTGGTACCTAATGCTTTGGTCTTCTCCAGAAATTTCACGCTAGCTGCTTCATTGGTGATCCAAGGGAGAGATACAGCATGCATCAGGCACTGTCCATGCTCAACATCACAACTGTAGCCATTAGGACAGCAGTGTATTTTGTCTTCACAGCAAACTGCCTAATGAGGAAAGAAATACAGAAACTATTGTAAACAACTTCCCATTCCTCCACTACTGAAGTTGATTAGTGGAAATCTAATTCTAGATTGTTCCATCAACAAAGGGGTTCTATGCACAATGCTCATCCTCATTAGTAGAACTGGAGGATATACGAGCATGTATAACTGTACAAATGTAACTGTACAAGAGCATGCTGTTCAGAAAAGAAATTTCACACAATAATCAAGTTACACTGTTTAGGGGAATGGACAACATACTGAGTTCAGCAATAGTTTTTATAGGCATAGGTTCAGATGTCTTTAAGCCCTTCAGTTTTCAATAAGTTCATGGCAGATCTGTGACACAGTTCCACATCCTGCCTTTGACATATAACCTTCAGTACCTTATGTATACAAAAATTTGCAATCCCCAACTTAAAGTTAATTCATTCAATATTAACAATCCCTTGTGGAAAGGATTCCAAACTCCCGATCCCATTACGCATAAATGTTTCCAAAATACACTCCCAAAAGGCTATATCCATTTCATCTCAGGAGTTCAACCCCAAAACAGGTTCACAGGAAAAAGGGTCTCGGCCCGAAACGTAAGTTTTCCTGCTCCTCTGATGCTGCTTGGCCTGCTGTGTTCATCCAGCTCTACACCTTGTTATTTCACAGGAATTCTACTTGTTAAGAGACAAGCTTATGAAACTTCCAGTTTGGAACTCAAAAATGCATCTATTTTTGTAACTTTATTTACAGAGACCAGAGTATAGGAGGTGCAGAAATGGATCAAAATCCTGGAACACCTTAAAAGCACAGAGTTTAGCTACAGCACATAGACTACAGCGGTTCAAGGTGGCAGCTCTCCAACAACTTCTCAAGAGCAACCAGGGATGGGCAATACATTCTTGCCCATCCAGCAACACCCATTTCCCATGAATGAGAACAAAAAATACAAACTGGCATTGGAGGGAATGATTCTCCAAGCTTTTGCTAATGCACACTTGAGGCAGTGTAGAAAAAGTTATTCTCTTTATACACAATAAAAGCACATTCCAACAACTATTACTATTTAAATAGTGTACTTCACACAATGAAACATCCCAAGACTCAGACAACAGGAGAAAGAATTCTGAAGCATGAATCAGCAGTGAAATTAGGCAAGAAGATTTTTCAGGAACTAAATTTCGAAGTGAGAGGAATTGTCAGCTAAACATCTCTTTTACGGAGGGTGTTGCTGGATGAGGGAAAAAAGGACGGATTATAACAAACATTGTGTCCCGATTTGGAACAGCCAGGTAAGCCACGACCAGTTCTATTTTGAACTTTTAAATACTTTCTGGTTTACCTTCAGATGGCAATCTCTAGATCAATGCTGAATGCATGTGGGTTTTACTACAAGCTGTCTGATGGATGATAAACAGCTAGAAGAGGTATTACCTCAGCATACATTTTGGAAATCTAGCATTACAGACTTTTCAGATTTCTTCCTTTATCTAATGGAAGATGAAAAAAATTTCATTGTGAAATGCTTCCGCAGAGGAACAATTCTCTGTTACCAAGGCTGAGTGGCCACAACCTCTAGAGGTAATTGCCAGAAAGCTATGGAGACAGAGCTCTTGCCTTTCCTTGTCAACATCTACTCATGTACAATTAATGGGATGAGGACTGTAATTGGAATTCTGGCTGACTTACCTCTTGGATTGTAACTGGCTTCATTGTTAATTAACTCAACAATCTTGACTGACGTCAATCAAAATCAAAATTCAACAGAGAATCTATCTGGAATGTGTGCAGTCTGCATGCACCCTGCACTACATCCTCCCACAGGCAGTGTCTTATAAAGTTATTTGCAGCTCCAAGCCTTATGGTGAATTGGTTGTTGTGTCTCCATACATCTTTCCCCTTCCAGGGGATCCTGAATGATTGGAACACATCACATACAATGATATTCCTCTATCCAAAGGTGAGTACTTATTGTACAGGATGTCTCCTGCTCTTCTTTCCCTCGTTCATCTAAAAATTGACCAGATGCTTTGGAGAAATTTTTCTGTTATTAAAACAAAATGATGCAGGAAGTGAAAGACATGCATGCAAAGATCAGCAGGCCTTCAATGTTAACCACTGTAATATACAGTGCAGGCAGAACATAATTATTAAGTTTCAGTGAAGTCTTTTAAAAGATTGACACAAAAATAAACAATGTTTACTGCAAATCCTGTACATGTAGGTATTTGGAGGACAGTATCAAGTCTTCAGCAAATACCTAGCTGAATACAGACATAAGTGAGGTTATTTCACAAAGAACTGCGGAATTCACACATTTTATTGCTTAAAGATGGGCCAAACCAAAATTCAACAGGGTTTCCAAACACCCTGCCTCCATGTTTCATTTTGGACAAAAGGGAAGATCAAAACTTCAACTGTCATTGTCAACGTATCAATGTATCACAATGGTCTCCTCCATCCAAACACATGGAACTCAGAGGTGTAAACCTGGAGTCCTGATTGAACATGGTTTTAGGAACCGTACCTCATTTCCCTAGGAACCCAGAAGATCCATTAGAACCATCAGTTGTCAACCAGTACGAAAAGCCAACTATGAGCCTAGATGCAAGTCGTCAAGCAGACAAATACATAAACTGTTCCAGTTTCAAAGTTCCCCATAGAACCAACCTCAAAGATATCCAACAATTCACAAACCGCTGTGAACATTTAGCTTCATAAGACCGTAACTTCAACTTTAAATCAGCAAAAGCGTTCAAAAGCCACTGGCCATCCATGTGAGAGACTGACGTTGTAAATCTGTAATCTGCACAGAAGTTGTACAAATTCCCTTTATTTCTCTGTAGCCTGTACATGCATGAGAGAGACTCACAGATTGGGAGGCGTTGTGATAATCAGGGCAGAGCCAATAAGAATAAATGACCTTTATTTTTTAACACAAATGGTTGCTACAGACCTTTAACATTATAATACAGGTACCAAAGGTAAGAAACGACACAAGTCCTTCCAGATAAAACATACTGAACACAGTAAGAAAACAAATAATTTCTATCTATAACAACCATCATGACACTATGAAGAACGAAAGAAATTATTTAGAAATATTCTCTCTGGTACCATGCCAAAGCAACAGCAAATGATGAACATGATCGTCACAGCAAACTGCCTAATAGGGGAAGAAATGAAGTGAATAATCAACTAAGACTGATTTTCCAAGGAAGTTTTCTCTCTAAAATTTCTAAACTTGATCGACCAGTCCAGATTAACTTTCATCAGGATGTCAATTTGGATGAGCATCATGTCCGTCACAATTGCTGTCATGATCCTGTCTATTTCCATGAGATAATGATCCATCATATGAACCACAAAGTTAAAAACACAGAAGGATGCCAGTGTCTTGTGCCAGCCCTTCGTGAGAGCAAGGTGCACAATTCACTTCCATCAAAGCACTGTTATCATAAGGCAACTGGTCTATACATCCTCCGAAGATGTATTCATCTTTTTCTCAATGACCTCTGGTGAAACATTGCATGCTCCAACTCACTGTAGAAAGAAGTTTCTTTTCATTTATTTACTCTGAAAAAAAACTCATTCATGAGACATAAGTGTCACTAGCTGAGCCAGCATTTGTTGCTTATCCCTAAACTGCACTTGAACAGAATTGCTGGACCCTGTCAGACGGCTGTTAATAGACAAGTACCACATTGTTCCGGGTCTGGAGTCACATGTAGGACAGTCCAGATAAGGAAAGGCAGTTTTCTCTCCCTAAAGGATATTACAGAACCAGCTGAGTTTTTAAAACAATTGACAATGGTTTCACAGTTATCATTAGATTTTTAATTCCAAAGTATATTTTCAGTTACCATGCGCAAATTCCCCTCCAAGCCACTCACCATCCTGACTTAGAAATATACCGGCAGTCCCCAGGTTACAAACAGGTAGTGCCAAAGCAATAGCAAATGATGAAAATAGTATCGACTAACCTGTGGAGAGGGGCAGCAGGACCAACCTCCTGAGAGATTTCGACAGCAGGTAGTGCCCGTCATACATGCAACTTTGTCATCACACTGAACATCAACCACTCTACTGTTCACAACAGTTGGGATCTTTGGGACTAAGGGAATCAACGTATTGCCCTTGCGACAGAGTCCAGCCTGAACATCGCATGTGTAGCCATTGGGACAACAATGAACATGATCGTCACAGCAAACTGCCTAATAGGGGAAGAAACGAAGTGAACAATAATTTTCCAAAGCAGCTTTGTCTCTAAAATTACAAACCTGATTTACAAGTCCAGATTAACCTTCATACAAAAGTCAATTTGGTTAAGCATCATCCCTGTGACAATCCAGGCAAATTTTATTAAAACAAGGGCTTGACATCCCAAGTTTCAGAAATGGGTTTATGGTTGCATTCTTGCCTCAAGTCTAAAGAACATGGATCAAGTCAAATTCCAGAATAGGGGCACAGTGTTTCAGCTGACACTGAAATTGCCTATAACGCAATTGACGAATAGGGGAAGGCTATTTCTAAAACATGAACTTGTGTTGGCCATAACGCAATTCCATGATTGTTTCACGGGCTTTGTCAAAGGAAAATTTCTTTCTTTTTCGATCCTCGCAGATGGTGCAAATGGTCACAGTAAGTCAAAATGAGTTCATTTGAACTCTGACATTTTTATGATGTTTGGATTTAGTGTAAGTTTGTTTGCCAATGATTAACTTAATCATGAAAAGGAAAACTCAAAAGACCAGTCGTCCTTTGGAACGTGGCTCTCAAAATTCCCATAAAATTTGGCTTTTGTACCGGTTTCTGTTCAGTTAGAAATTTCTCTAGTGGCTTGCAATTTGACCAATTGTCTGTGATCCCAGAATTACAGTACTGCTCAGTACAACGTTGCTGACATTACCACACGCTAAAATTGGAGTCCGATATACAGTTGGAATCAACATGTAGTGAGTCAGGATGTAGGAACAGATGGCTTTTGTTGTTAGATAACAAGGTGTAGAGTTAGATGAACACAGCAGGCCAAGCAGCATCAGAGGAGCAGGAAAGCTGACGTTTCGGGCCTAGACCCTTCTTGTTTTGTTATGCTTTGTATGAGTTATTAACAATGGCAGCATTCGTTAGCAACATGAAATTCCCCATTTCGAGTCGGAATCAAAATGATGTAATGTCAGGTGAGATCAACAATGGGCTAAGACTGCAATGCAGACTATGTTCAGGTGAATAGATTTTATTTGATTATAAGTGTTAAGACTCACACAAGTGACAGGAATGGCACCAATACTGATAGGAGTGGTGAGGAAGAATTTTGAGTGATATTTTTTGAATGATTTTGAGTGATTTTTTTTGGTGGTCTGCTCTTCACCCTGCTTTTCCCATAGGCCCTGTTATTTCTATAGTGCGATTTTCTATAACATGATGTTGAGCTCAAATGCAACTATCGCATTATAGCAGAACCCCCTGTACTTTTACTTTGATGGCATCCAGCTGTATTTCTCTACTCCTTGCCATTAATTCCATCATTTCAAACAGTTAGCACAAAGAAGCAAAACCAAAGTCATCTTTCTGCACCTCAAAAAAGACCTGTTCACCTCTGACCTCAGCTCCACCATCCTCGGAAGTGCCTTGTCATTTATCATGAGATTAAGTGCACCTTAGTGCACTGCTTATTCTTTAGCTCAGCTTCCTTATACTGACTAACCTGTCACTTAGATAAGCTAACCTGTCACTTTCACACATTTTCTACTGTCAGCTCAGCAAAAGAAGTGAAAATTTCTATGTCTGTCATAAGGTCCGAGTCCCATAACTGGAGAAGTGCGTAAGCGAGGGAATAACAACGCAAGTGAGAGAAAGCATACAAGGTATAGGTAAAGGCAGAGGATTGGTTATAACTGGCTTGTAACTAAACAGCATGCAAAATAAGACAAAACTGATCTATAAGAAGGCTACCAAGTGGTTAAAGCAAATTAATTCAAATTAATCTCAGGAGCATCCGAGGAAGAGGAGTTCCAGGATTTTGACCCAGCAACACCGAAGGAACAGTGATATATTTCCAAGTCTGTGGCTTGCTGGGAAACTTGCAGGTAGAAGCGTACTCCTGTATTTGCTGTCCTTGTCCTTCTACGTGGCAGTTGTCGTAGCTTTGGAATGCGTTTTCCCAGGAGCCTTGGTGAATTTCTGCAGTGTATATTGAAGATACTACACACTGCTGCTCCTCCACACCAGTGTGGAGGGAGTGGATGTCTGTGGATGTGGTCCAGAGCTGCTTTGTCCTGGATGATACCAACCTTCTTCAGATTGCTGGAGCTGCATTCATCCAGGCAAGTAGCGACTTGTGCCTTATAGTGTACAGTGTTGGAGGTGAATTATTCACTGCAGGATTCCAGGCCTCTGACCTGCTCTTGTATGACACTAATATCAAGGGCAGTCACTCTTACCTCACTTCTAAACTAAGGCTGTAACGACATCAGGAGCTGGCAGAACCCAAACTAAGCATCAATGAGCAGGTTATTGCTAAGTAAGTGCTGCATGCTAGCCCTGCTGATGATACAATACATTGCTTTAATGATGATGGGGCTGATGGGGCGGCAACTTGCTGGGTTGGATTCGTCCTGTTTTTGGAGTACAGGACATACCTGGGTCATTTTCAAATCATCGTGTGGATGCCAGTGGTCCAACTGTACTAGAACCAGTCAGCTAGGAGAGTGGCAAGTTCTGGCGCACATGTCTTCAGTACTATTACTAGAATGCAGTCAGCACCCATAGTCTTTTGAGTATCGGTGTGAATCAAATTGCTGAACACTGACATCTGTGACAGTGGGATCCCTGGAGATGGTCTAAATGGATCATCACTTTGTATTTTTGGCTGAAGTTGGTTGTAAATGCCTCTGTTTTATCTTTTCCATTGATGTGCTGGGCATGCCCATCATCAAGGATGGTGTTATTATTGGAGCAACCTCCTACTTTTAATTGTTTCATTGTCCACCCCAGTCACGTAAGATGAAGGAATATAAACAAGCCATTCTGCACATTGAGTCTTATCCACAATTAAATTCAATCTGATAATTCTCAAATCCATTTTGAGGATTAGTAAAGATACACTCACTTCCCTCAGCCATATCATCAATATATATTGTAAATAATTGTGGCCCTAACACTGACCCCTGAGGCACTCCACTAGATACAGCTTGCTATCCCAAAAATGCCTCTTTTAACCCAACCCTATCTTTCGTTAATTAGCCAATCCTCTGTCCATAATTTACAACTCCCAATACCATGCACTCATCTTATTAAGTAACCAAATGTCATTACCAAACGCATTTTGGAAACTGAAATATATTATATTAACTGGCTCCCTTTTATCTATCCTGCTTGTTAACTCCCCAAAGAATTCTAATTAACCAATCAGGCATCATTTCCCCTTCATGAAGCCATAATGACTCTGCTTGATTTTGTCTTCCTAAATGCTCTGCTATTGCATCCTAATATCTCAAGGGCAAATGTTAAGCATACTGGACTATAGTCACTTGATATTTATCTCCTCTTTTTGCATAAAAGTGCTATACTGACAGATTTCCAAACATCTGGGACTGGTCCAAAACCTATGGATTTTTGGAGGATGATGACTGTGTGCATCCACGAGCACTTCCTTTAATATCCAAGGCTGCAGCCCATCAAGTCCAGGGAACTTAACAGGCTTTCCCTAGTATTTTATTCCTAGTGGTAACTATTGTATTTGTTTTCTATCTCTGTTTTGCCCCTTGACTATTTAATACTTCTGGAATAATTTTAATGTTTTCTACCATGAAGACTGATACAAAGTATTAATTTAAGCGTTCTGCCATTTCCTGGTTCCTCATGATTATGTCCTTTGCCTCAATACCTAAAGGGTCTATGCTCATTTTGTCACATTTCTTCCTTTTTATCTATTTAAGAAAGACTTTGCTATCCACTCCTGACCCCTCAGAATATTACCTGCGTGTCTGGATTACTGGTCCAGTGACAATATTGTGCCCGCCTCAGGGATGGAGTGGTAGGTAAACAACACCGGATTCATTTAACTAAATGTTGTGCGTATTGGAAAATTATTCAGCAACTGGAGTCAGTATGCTGCAGACCCTTTCCTGTCTCCTCCACCCCAATATTCAAGAAGTGAGAGGAGTTCATGGACATCTTTCTTTCTCAGATTGAGATTACCCAGCCAGCTGCCTCCACCACTACTCACCAGCTGAACAGGTCAAACATTCTCTAACATTCCCACCTGCAATGTGAATGCCCCTTCAGCATTCCCAATTTAATGTACAACCACTGGTAACTGAATATAGCTGCAAAGACCCTGCATACAGGAATTCTCTCCTAATAAAGGTCTGGAAAGCACTCTGAGTCTATGGTGAAGTAGGTTCAATTGAAACATTCAAAAGGGAATTAGACTATTATCTGAATAGGAAGAATGTGCAGGGTTATGGGAAGAAGGTGGCACAATGGCATTAAGTGAATTGCTCACAGGAAAATTGCCACAGACAAAATTGGCCATTTATCTGCAGCAATTCCAAATCCTGTTAAATCCTCTCAAATTACTCTCTTTTCCTTTATGATAGTTTTTTAAATCGTCTGATAATTTTTCATCACCTATGGCTTAGTGGAAAAGTTTGCGTCACAGCAGTCCTGCGAAGCAACTTGAGATGTTTTATTAAAGGTGTCATATAAATTCAAGCTGTAGGTGACAGGGAAATCAAATGTAGAAGTGACAAGATTAGAGGTAATGGTTTCAATTACAATGGTAGTAAGGTAGTGTCAGAGTCAGTCATGTCACACAGGTAGAAGCGAGTAGAATGTGGGAATGATGTGATAGGATTTGTAGATCAGTTCTGCATCAAAGTGACATTCTTCAGCCCTCCTGAATGTGGAATGGTAGTTAAATGGTAAGGGGTACAGTTCAAGATGAAAATTAAGAAGCTTTGATCTTCCTGTTTTTAGTTTAAGAAAATACAGATGTGTGTCTTGAACACTGAGGCCAGGCAGCCTATTTGGAGGATCTGGTGCAAAAGTGATGGTACCATTCAAGAATTCATCTTCCAAATCTAAACTAGGGCTTTAACATGTGTACCTACTGTAGCAGTCAAAAATTTCTCAATGGTACACATTTGTTGGATTAAAAGGACAGATCTGACTCAATGTCAAATGCAAGACTCCCCGCTGTGGAGGACCGTGCAATTTGATGATGTCCTATCAAATGAGCCCTCATAAACAGGGAAATTACGTAAGTATTCCATTAACCTGAGGTAAAGGGCAACCGTTCCAGTCACCAGCCTTATTTCTGCAGCAACTGCTCCCTGATGGGTATTTTGTACCATCATCACAGATCTCGTCCTTTACTTTTTCCACACTGCTTGTAAGCTTTAGGACCATGGGAATGGAAGAATCCTTCATCTCACACAATCCTTGCTGAACATCACATGTGTAGCCATTGGGACAGCAGTGTATATGATCTTCACAGCAAACTGCCTATTGGTGCAAAAATAGCAACATAAAATTAAGACGCATAGTCCAAGAGAGAATTCAACGTCCATCTTAATCCTTCTGAGATTCCCGCACACTTTTGAAACCTGCAGAGTGGGGTCTGCGTGTGCATGTTTTCAACAGTTTAAAAACTAACCAATTCATAACACAAACACACTTGCATTCAGAATACTAGCTGGAGGTTCACTACTTTTACCATTTATACAATACAACACAAAAAGGTAGCAGATTAGCCAAAACATCCAATACACACAATGCATCCAGAACCATCTGAAAACTGTGAAGAGCCAGTCATTGAACACAGTGAATATTGTGATGAAATAAAACTTAAGTACTGAATCAACGTCGGGAGGAAACTAGATAACCCTAACCCATTATCCTGAGCATTTCATTTGCTATTCCTGATATTCCAATTTTTAGTAATAAGGTTTATTGGGCAATGTTACTGAATGTACACTTGTAACTCCACTTACACTCCAGCTTACACTCAATTCTTTTCCAGCTGGAGCCAAATTAATGTGCTGATACCACTATTGTAACAATAGATCTTCATTCACTGCTTTGAATGTCTACCTTTCACAAAGATTCTGCATATTATCATATATATAGTTTCCAGTGTTCAGGTCAAGGCTTTTGTTTTGAAAACCAACCTGTGGAATGGGGCAGCACTCCCATTCTCCTGAGGTGCCCTTGCAGCAGGTCTGATTGTCAGGACAGCTCTTGGTTTCATCACACTGGACATCCCTCTGTGTAACCTGCACAATAGCTGGAGTCTTAGTCCTCCAGGGGATAGGAATGCCCCTCTGGTAGCAATTTCCAGTTTCAGGATCACATTTGAAGCCATTAGGACAACAATGTATGCCATCTTTGCAGCAAACTGCCTGATGAGGGAAAAAAGAACATGCAATAATTTAATCACAATGCCAAATTTTCTCCTGTTAAAATTGCTTTCAGGGTATAAATATCATTTTAACCTTTCTGACATGTAATTACGTCAGCATTCATACTTCAGATCATTGTGATGGCAGAGTTCCACCTTAACTATTCTTTCAGTGTTTATTCTCTCCTGAAACTCTAAGTAATGTTATGTGTTTAGATGCAGTAAACCAGTCGTGAACTCTCTCGGTAACTGTTATTAGTTGCTGATTATTGTATACCATTGTAACATTTTCCTTTAGCACTTGAAAGCAGATGAAGTATCAAGATACACTTTACAGTTTAAAATGACAGTGTACGCAATATAGATTTTTCCACTTGTTCACTGTTTAAGCAACATACTTAATGTAAGGTGGTGTAATAGTCAAGCTACTTGTGTTTGACACCCAGTTAATGCTCGGGGGCACTTGGATTCAAAACCTAGCACAGTAGATTGTGAAATTTGAACTCAATTAATAAATCTGGAATTGAAAATAATAGCAGTCTAAACCTGACAATGGAACCATTGTTGTTCGACGTAAAAACCCATCTGACTCAATAAGTTGCTTATGGAAATAGCTGCGATTCTCACCTGGTCTGGCCTTTCATCCAGCTCTACACCTAGTTATCTCAGATCCTCCAACATCTGCAGTTCCTACTATCTCTGATCCACAGCAATATGGCTGACTTTACATACTCTCTGAAATGGCCTCACAAGCCACTCAGCTGCATCTAACCATTACTGACAAGCTGATAAGAGGAAAGATATCAGACAGACCACCCATCAACCAGACACGAGAAACAACTACAGCAAAGACAGTCCTATCGATCCTGCAAAACCCTTCTTACTAACACCTGGGGCTTTGCCAAAATTGGGAGACCTGTCCCACAAGCTACAGCCTGACAGAATCATTCTCAAAATTACACCTTAAAGACAACGCTCCAGACACATCATCACCCATTCCTGGTCCCAGCAACAGGACAGACTGACTACAGCTGGCAATACAGTAGGAATGAAGTTGCCCTGCGCATCCTCAACATTGACCCCATATCCCATGACATCCCATGGAATGTGATTAAACATAGCAAGGAAACCTGCTGATTACCACCCACCAATTCACCTCCTTGACTGATGAATCAGGACTCCACCACGCAAAAGGGTGCACTTAGGATGCGTAGGGCACAAAATGTACTCTCTGTACTCAATGTCGTCCATCAAAAATGGATGAGAAGTGCCACTACTGACCAAGCTGGCAAGGCACCAAAGGACATAGCTACCACACTGGGCCTGCATCAAGAACAGACAAAAGACAAAAACATTGACCTTGTCCTCACCAATCCACCTGTAACAGACACATCTGTCAGGAGGTATCAGTAAGAGTAACCACCACATTAAGGATATCCTCAGCGTTGTAAGACACGACCACCATGCTGAATGAGGTATGAGCATCCAAGAGGTGCTGTGAGCCATCAGCAGCAGTAGAATTGTATTCAACAAAAATCAGTAACCTCATGGCCCACATGTCAGTCTCTACCATTATTGTCAAGGCAAGTGATCAACCCTGGTTCATTTGCAGAGTGCAGGATGGCATACTGAGGAACCACACCAACCATAGTTAAAAATAAGATGTTATCCTGTTGAAATTGCAATGCAGCCAGGATAATATGCATGCCAAGAAGCATAAACACCATGTCAATCCCACAATCAACCAATCCCACATCAGATCCAAGCTCTGCAGTCCTGCCACATGCAGTCATGAGTGGCGGCAGACAATTTAACAAATAACAGGAGGAGGATATTCCATAAATATCCCCATCCTTCAAGATGGGGGAGCCCAGCACACGAGTGTAAAAGACAATCCTGCAGAATTTTAAGCATCTTCATTCAGAGGTGCTGACGAGAGGATCAATCTTGGCCTCTTCCATAAGTGCCCGGTATCATGATACCAAGCTTCAGCCAACTTCCATATGATATCAAAAAATGACTGAAGACTCGATACTGCAATATTCTGTCAATAAAATTGAATTCTAGGGCCACAACCCTAGCCAAGTCACTCCAGCAGAGTTACAAAGTTGGCATTTAACCAGCAAGGTGGTTAATTGTACAGCTATGTCCTATCCACAAAAAGTAGGGCAAATTCAACCCAGCATTATCCATCTAATCTCAATTATCAGCCAAGTGACAGAATGTGTCTTTAACGGTTTCATCAAGTGTCATTTACTCAAGAAATGACCTCCACAATGACAATTAGTTTTGGTTCTACCAGGGCCACTCGGTTCCTGAGCATTACAGCCTTGGCATAAGAAGCTGAATTCAAGAGGGGAAGAGAGGGTGACTGCCTTTAACATCAAGACAGCATTTCACAGAGTGTGGCTTCAAAGAAGCCCTGATCAAACTGGAGTCAAAGGGAATCAGGAAAAACATTCTCCTTGGTTGGAGTCAGATGGAAAGGAAGGTGGTTATGGTTGTTGAAGGTGAATAATCTCAACCCCAGAAATTCACTGCAGGAGTTCATCAGATGCTGCATCACCTTCCCTCCATCATAAGGTCAGAAGTGGGGATGTTCGTTGATAATTACTGTTGTAGTTAAGTTACCACAAGCTACCTTTAATTCAGCTACTTTTAAGAATACTCACAATCAAATACTGAAACAATTACTTGAACTTCGTTGCATTTATCAACCAAATAAGACCCCTCAAGTAACCAAGTTAAGTCTCACAACCCAACTAGGCTATTACCCATGAGTCCAACCAACAGAGTCTGTTTCGAGATGGGTCCAGGGTTCGATCCTCATGCAGTGTTGTTCTTCGAAGTTCTGCTGCTGAACAGTCCTGGAGTTGAATTTTTATACAATTTTCTGTTCTTCAAGTCTATGGTGTGACATTATTCACAATCCTTTAGATTCTTTCATCCAAAATACTGACTACTCCTCTGGAGCTATCAAGTTTGCAGCTTGCCTCCTGGTCAGCAATAACTTCCCTGTTCCTTGTTACATTTGGCATTAACGATCTTTTCAAAGACACAGCTTTCCTGTGAACAACTCTTTAAATTCTTCTACAGGGCAATCATTTGTACTCGTGGTATAAGGCAGCCATTTCTCAAGCAAGTGTTAAAAGTTGTTTATGTAGCTTTGACTCCTCCTTCTCCCAATGTCTAATTGCTTTCAATTCCTGAATAATGGTTTGTCCTTGTCCCTTAACAGTTTATTCCAGACAGAGTTATTGCTGTTTCTTTCAATTCATGAACAGTTATCCAAATTCTGAAGTTTACACCATCACATTACCACAATGTTCAGGACTATTTGCAACTTCTAAGATACTGAAGCAGACTGTGTCAAAATACAGCAAGACCTGGAAAACATTCCAGCTTGGGCTGGTGACTGGTAAAGTAACATCTGCACTGCAAAAATGCCATGCAAACACCAGCTCCAATAAGAAAGAATCCAACTTATTGGCTCTTGACATTCAGCACACAATACTCTAGGTCCTGTACAATTGCAGCAAGATATTTCCATTCCTGTCCCCAGATCCTTTTGCTATGAAGGTCTTCTACACTGCCTGCTGTACCTGCATGCTTACTTTCAGCGACTGGTGATCAAAGAACATCCAGTCCGCATTGCACCTTCCACTTTCCCAATCTATCACCTTGAGATAGTAATGTGCCTTCCTGTTTTTGCCTCCAAAGTGAACAATCTTACATTTATCCATATTATACTTCATCTGCCATCCTAAAGGTTAATAAAGCTATCAAATTGAAAGAAGAAAAACATAAAATGAACAAAAATTAGTGGTAAATTCAAAAATTCAAAAGCTGACAAAACGAGCAAACAAAAAAGGGAAGTAAACACAAACCATCACGAGAGGAAACAAATACCAGGGAAAATAATGAAGCTAAACCTGGACCTAATGAATTGTATACTAGGATTTTAACAGAAGTAGCTGCAGAGATAACAGATGCATTGGTAGTAATTTTCAAAGAATCCTCAAATTCAGGATAAGTCCAAGAGGACTGGGAAAGTGCCAAAGGAACAGCTTTATTTAAAAGGCAAAAAAAGACGATAAACTGTCGGCCAGTTAGCTTAACATCAGTCATTGGAAAAATGTTATAAATGAGTTGATTATAAAATATATATGATATCAGAGCTTTAAGGAAGCCATAACAATCAAGCAGAGCAAACATGGCTTCATGAAGGGAAATCATGCCTGACATATTTGTCAGAGTTTTTGAGGAGGTAACAAGCAGGATAGATAAAGGATAACCATTATATGGAATATATTTGGATTTCCAAGTGGCATTCAATGAAGTACCACACATAAGGTTACTTCAGATAAAGCCTATGGCTTGGGAGTAGTATATTAGCATGGTTAGAGGATTGGCTAACAAATAGCAGACAGCATTGGGATAAAAAGGAAATTTTCAGGATGGCAATCTATAACAATGGAGTGCCAGAGGGATCAGTGTAGGGGCCACAATCTTATAAGATATATTAATGACTTGGATGACAGAAGTAAATGTACTAACATCAAGATCACGGATGACACAAAATTAGGTGGAAAGGCAAGTAATGAGGATGCTCCATGGAATGTAAAGAGGGATATAGACAGCTTAAGTGAGTGTGCAAAAACTTGGTAGATAGAATACAATACGAGAAAGGGTAAAGTTATGCACTTTGGCAGGAACTGAAGGGCTGAATATCACTTAAATAGAGAAAGACTGCAGATAGCTGCAATACGGTGGAATTTGGGTGATCCTAGAACATGATTCATTAAAAGCTATCATTCCAAGTTCTGTACATCACAAGGAAGGCAAAGGGAATAGGAAGGTTAATTAAAATGGTACAAGCAAGGGTCACACCACACCTAGAATACTGTTGACAATTTTGGTTCAATTATCTAGGGAAATATATATTAACATCGGAGGCAGTCCAGAGAAGGTTTACTAGGTTGATCCCATGTATGGAGGGGTTTTTATAGGAGTAGAGATTCGGCAGATTAGGCTGACGTTCATTACAGTTTAAAAGAATGAGAAGGCTCCTTATCGAAACATATCAGGCTCTTGGGGAACTTGAGAGGGTAGATGCTGAGAAGTTGTTTTCCCAGTGGGAGAATTAGGTCCAGGGGAATAATCTTTGAGTGAGGAGTGACCCATTTAAGACAGAGATAAGGAGAAACCTTTTCTTAGGCTGGTGAATCTGTGGAATTCTTTCCCACAGAGGGCTGTCAAGGCTGGGTTGCTAAGTATATTCAAGCTGAGATAGAAGAGATTTTTAATCATTCAGGAAATAAAGGGTTATAGGTTACGGCAGCAAAGTGCAGCTAAGAATCAACAGATCATCCACGATTTCATTGAGTGGTGGAGCAGACACAATAGGCCAAATAGCTTGTTTAGGTTCCTACATCTTATGGATAAAGCAGCCTGCTTGATTTGCAGCCATCCATCAACTACAGCATTTAATCCCCCACAACTGACTCATAAGCAATAGTGTGCAGCATGTATAAGAAGGATGCACTGTCAAAACTCACCAAGGGTCCTTCAATTGCACTTTCCAAACTTGTGACCCCGACCAGCTAGAAGGACAACGGTACATGGATAGGATAGGTTTAGAGATACGGGCTGAATGCAGCCAAATAGGACTACCTCAATTTAGGAAAACTGGTCAGCATGGACAAGTTGGGCCAAAGAGCCTGTTTCCATGCTGTGTGACTATGACAGAAACATGGGGATAACACTGCTATTCCTTCACTATTGCTGGGCTAAAATGTGGAATTGCTATAACAGGACTGGGGTTCTATCTGCACCATAGGATACTCAGGAATTCAATGCAGCATTCAGCACCGCCTTCCCAAGGACAATAAGGTCACAATAATTGCAAGCTAAGCCAGCAGCACCCAACTTCTGTGAATGACAAAGAAAACATGGTAAAACTCATTTCACTTGATCTCCATGGTAGACTCAAGACTAAGACGAAAACATGTGGAATCAGGGACAAGAAACAGGATAAACAGCAAGCTGGCTACAAAATAGTAGGGTATAAGGATTAAGTAAAACTGTTTACTGAACTTAGTAAGTGGTCACAAATGATAATTACTTAAAAAATTCTTACAGAGCACAACAAGATGGCTCAGATGTTTTTCTGGCTGGTAAAATCGAAAAACAAAATCTCAGGTTAAGGGATAAGCCATTTAAGACTGACATGCGGACTAATTTCATCAGTGTGGTGATGCTTTGGAATTCTCAATCCCAGAGGGCCAAAGAAGCTCAATCACTTCGCATGTTCAAGAGAGAAATCCTTAGATTTCTAGAGGCAATAACATCAAGGGATACGAGGATATGGGGGTGAACAGTTAAATTGCATGGAGGTAAATGATCAGCCATGATCAAATTGAAAGGCTGAGCAACCTCAATGGCCTACTCCTGTTTCCATGTTCCACAATAACAGCTGCTGGAACCACTGTTAATTACCACCTACATGAACAGCTTGGATTCACCATCTGGGGACAATGAATGAAGTGTGAAGGGGTGCATTTTGGGTAGAAAAAATGCTACTTGGACCGAAAAGTGGCAGGTAACATTTACGTCACACACGTCAGGCAATAACCAAGAAGAGAAAGTACAAAAAAACTCCCTTACCACTGCTGTGCAGGATAACACCATTGACCACAAACTCAGTTTGTCCAGAGTATAAGAGCAGATCAGAGGCCTGGTATTTTGCAGCATATAACCCAACTCCTAACTCCCTAAAGCCTATCTATCAACTGCAATGTGTAAGTCATGGCATGATTCTTTCTACTGGTCTGGATGAGTGCAATTCTAACACTCACAGGGTCACAGGAACAGGAGAAGGCCATTCAGTCCTTTGAGCCTGTTCCTCCATTCAACAAGATCATGGCTGATTTGGATCTAATCCATACACCTCCCTTTGACCCATTTCTCTTAATAACTTTTTTTGTTAAGCAAAGGTATCTCCTATTCAAAATTACAACTGATCGAGCATCAACTGTCATTGGTGGAAGAGAGTTCCAAACATCCTACCATCTTTTGCATGTAGAAGTGTTTCCCAACGTCTTTCCTGAACAGTCTAGCCCCAATTCTCAGATGACGTCCCCTAGTTCTAGAATCTCCAACCTATGGAAATAATTTATCTACTCTGTCCCTTCCTCTTACTATCTTGAAGACTTTAACAAATCATTCTTTAACCTTCTAAATTCTAGAGAAAACAGGCCTAATTTGTATAATCTCTCCTCATAGCTTAACACCTGAAGCCCAGGTATCATTCTTGTAAACCTCTCTCTCAAGGCCAATATATCCTTCCTAAGATGCAGTGCCCAGATCTGCTCTCAGTACTCCAAGTGTGGTCTAACCAGGGTTTTGTATAAGTACAGCAGAGCTTCTGTGTCATTATACTCCAGTCCTGTATATATCAAGGTCAGCAGTAACTTTCTTGATCGTTTTGCGCACCTATTCATTGCATTTTAAAGAAGTATATACCTGAACCACCAAGTTGTTTTGGCTATCCATTGCATTTAAGTTCATATCAGCTGGAAAGTACCCTGACCTCTCCCTTCTCAGTCCAAAATGGATAATCTCACACTTGCTTACATTGAAGTCCATCTGCCACAGTTTTGCCCATTTGCCTGAACCATCAATAATCCGTTGTAATTTTTATGCTACCATCTGCTCTGTCTACAATACCACCTAACTTTGTGTCATTTGATTTGGATATATGACTTTCCATGCTATAATTCAAGATGTTAATAAATAATGTGTATAATTGAGACCCTCACACAGACCCTTATGGATTCTTACTGACTACATCCTGGCAATTTGAGTACCTACCCATTATTCCTACTTTCTGTTGCCTGCAACTCAATTTCTTAGCCGTGTCAATAGCTTGCCCTCAGTTCCCTGGGCATCTACTTTAGTTAACTGTCTCTCAGGTGGGATTTGAGCAAATGCCTTCTGGGGAAGTCCATAAAAACAATCCATTTCCACAGATATTCCTCTGTCCAGCACCTCTTCAGAAAATTCAATGAGGTTTGTCAGGCATCGCTTGTGTTACAAAATGGAGACAAGTAGCTGAACCAAATCAGCCTTTCCACCTCTGTATTTGCAATGCAGTTATATTAAAACCTTCCAAGACCCTCAAAATTGATCCCAATGGTTCCTAAATGGAATAACCAATCTCAGATTCTGCAAATAATAAATTCTAGCCACGTATTATATCTTAAATAAAGATTAACAATTTATTAACAATATATTAACTTGAGCAGATCAAAAATTAAACAAAAGTAATCTTAAATAGTTTATCATTTAAACCCAACAGACTTTGTTTTCAACACCATTCACAAAAGACAGATAAACAAAAAGTTATGGAATAAAAAGAAAAAAATATAAAACTGGCTAGATTTCTCAAGTGGTTTTCGATTTACATTGTTCCACAGGCATAAATGATTGTTTCTTGGGTGATTTTTCTGATGTTGATCAGAGTCACCTTTATAATTCTCTCAGATGAAGGTTCTAATACTTACAATTTCATTTTCTATTCTCTGAGCTTCCAAAAGCTGTTCACAGCAGTTTAAAGCAGGGAGCTTTCAAATCTTCATGCTGCAGCATCAACAGCCAGAATTCTTTCTTCCTTAAAGAACAGCCCAAAACCCAATTCAAACTCTAGCCACTCTCTGCCAGATTGTCTGTCTGCTCCACAAGGTCCCTATAGCCATTCAATATCTGCCATCTGCTCAGCACAAAATCTTTTCCAGACTTGCTGGAACCAATTTCCAGGTAATAGCTTCAATAGTAGCCAACTTTTGCTATCTGCTTAATCATAAGGCTCTTCCACAGTGACAAAGCATCTGTGGAACCTTCTGATCAGGAACTAATCTGCAATCAACTTTCAGGCCTGGCCTCACAAATAAGCAGACGTCTGTTTGGCCTATTTTCATTTTAACACAAGCTGTAACCGACAGTCCTAAAGTCATGTTTAGCTCAGCTCCAAACCAAAATTGATAAAGAAAAATAAAAGTAATGAAAAATCAACAAGAGCTCTATCCTATCCTATGATGCTGCTTGGCCTGCTGTGTTCATCCAGCTCTACACCTTGTTATCTCAGGAATACCTGCTGGCTTGCTCTGATTAAGTGAAAATTTGAAATGTTCGGTTACCCCATTAGTTACACATTCCAACAATTCCCCTCCACAGATGTTAGGCTAACAGATTTGTAATTCCCCGGCTTTCCTATTACACCTATTTTAAATATTCACTCCTTCATTATTGGCAATTGTAGCTGCGGTAGGTGCTATCTACAAGGTGTGCTTCCAAACAACTTGCCAAAGTTTCAACCTTTCCATGATCTGCAACCTCTACCACCTAAAACGACAAGGAAAGCAGATGCAAGGGAACGTTAGCTTTCAAAAACTAGCAAGTAAGTCTGGAATCTTTGAAGTAAATAACTTCTATTCAGTGCAACACTTAATCTCACAGTGTCAGAAAAAGATAGAACACTGGAATACCATTGAGTTGTTGCAGAATTACCATTGCAGCCTTCGGGAGAAAGACTGAAACATGAAGCATGCCATTGCATTTCAAAAGTATAGGTTATAGTCTCTTACGTTCGGTTGTGGACAACATCCAAAATCTCCTGAGGCGAACCTACAGCACGTATAATCATTAGGGCAGGTCACTGTTCCATTGCACCACACAACCCGAACTACAAAGGCAAGTAAGATAATGAATTAATGGAAGACAAAATCTAATAGGATCACATGGTGGGGCTTAGGAGGAAGGGAAAGAGAGATAAGTGAATATTATAGACATTAAATACTATATACAATAAACAAAATTAAAAAATCAGTAAACTCAACACTAACAAATTTTCCCTTCAATGATGTCCTGAATGCACTCAAGTATTTTTATTCATTTGGCAGACCAATTTGTTTTTTGTGGACTGATCAATTGTGCCTCACCTATATGAATTAACTAGCCCTATTACATGGGCAACTTAAATCAAAACATAGAAGTTAGGAGCAGAAGTAGGCTATTCGGCCCTTCGAACCTACCCTACCACTCAATAGGATCATGGCTGATTATCCAACTCATACCTTGTTCCTACTTTCTCCCCACATCCTCTGATCCCTTCAGCCCCAAGAACAGTACCTAATTCCTTATTGAAAACATTCAGTTCTCTGGTTTCAATTGCTTTGTGACAGAAAATTAGAGAGGCTCACCAGTCTCTGGGGTGAAGAAATTTCACCCCATCTCAGTGCTAAAAATCCCACCCCATATCCTGTTAATCCTAGTTCTGAAAACCCTATCAGGTGAATCATTTATAGGTTTCAAGGAGATTCCCCCCCAACCCCATTCATCTAAATGCCAATGAATATAGTCCTAACCGATCCAGACTTTCTTCATATGTTAGACTTACTATCCTAGGAATCTGTTTGGTAAATCTTTGTTGCGCTTCTCCCATAAACAGAACATATTTCTTCAAATAAGGAAATCAAAACTGCTCACAATACTTAGGGTGCAGTTTCATCAAGTTCCTGCACAATTGCAGCAAAACATCCCTGCTCCTGTACTTAAATCCCCTTGCTACGAAGGCCAACATACCATTTACCGTCTTTGCTGCCTGCAGCACTTGCATGCCTAGTTTCAGCGACTGTAAGAGAAAACTCAAGTCTCACTGCACCTCCCCCTTTGCCAAACTAAAGTCATTCAGTTAATCATTTGCCTTCCTATTTTAGCTCCGAAGTGGATAACCTCACAGTTACCCACATTATACTTCATCTGCCCACTCACTCAACTTATCCAAAACATATTGAGCATCTCTGCATGCTCCACACAGCTCATCCACCTACCCAGCTTTGTGCCATCTATAAACTTGGAGATAATATATTTAGTTCCCTCATCTAAATCATTAATATATATTATGAATAGCCGCGATCCAAGCACCAATCCTGCAGAAGCCCACTAGTCTAATTTTAGGTAGCTGGGGAGTTTTAGTTGTGAAAGAACAGATTGATGTTATGGCAGATCTCTTTCAAATGTTGAAAGGGTTAAATTTTGCCTATATGACAGAAAATTTGGTCAAGAGACAGAAAAGGATCACAGCATAAAGACCAAAAGAACTGCGGAAGGTCCGATGGCTCTTCTTAGAGCTGATGATGGCTGGGAAAACATCTGTTTATATGCAGAAAAAAGGGAGGGGGAATGGGGTAGGGAGTTAATGATAGGATATAGAGTTTAAAGAGAGAGAAGAATAGTTGGATAGACAAAGAGTTGATAATGATCAGGCTGGAAGGGTGAATAGTTGTTAATGACGACTGTTAGTGACTAACAGGTGGTGTGTGATGGCAGGCTATATGGTAACAGGGCCTGGTGTGTGGTGTTGGGGGCTGGGACATGGGAGAGTTTAGGCCCTAAAATTACTGAATTCAATATTAAGTCCGGAGGGCTGCAGGGTCCCCAAGCGGAAATTGAGGTGTTGTTCTTCTAGCTGGTGCTGAGGTTCGCTGGAACACTGCAGCAAGCCAGAGACAGAGATGTTGGCCAGGGAACAGGGTGGTGCGTTAAAGTGGCAGACAACAGGTAGTTCAGGGTCATTTTTGTGAGCAGAACGTAGATGTTCTGCAACACGGTCACACAGTCTACGCTTCGTTTCCTCAATGTAGAGGAGACCACATTGTGGGCAGCGAATGCAGTAGACTAGATTCTGGGAAGTGCAGGTGAAGTGTTGCATCACCTGGAAGGTATGTTTCGGCACTTGGATACTAGGGAGGGAGGAGGTAAATGGGCAGGTGTTGCACCTTCGCCGGTTACAGGCAAAGGTGCCGTAGGGCCATGGGGGAGGTGTTGGGGATGAAGGAAGTGTGGACCTGGGTGTCCCGGAGGGAACGATCTCTGCAGAAGGCGGACAAGGGCGGGGAGGGAAAATGTGTCTGGTGGTAGCGTCTTGCTGGAGGTGGCGGAAATGGCATCTGATGATCTTCTGGACATGGATGCTGGTGGGATGGTAGGTAAGGACACAGCAGTCAGCGTAAACTACAAAAAGAAAACAAGTCAGGTTAAATGTTGTGAACTACTCTTCCCTGTTTTCAATCTGAAACATAGAATCAAGAGTAGGCCATTCAGTCCCTTGAGCCTGTAACGCTATTTGACGAGATCAAGGCTGATCTGCAGTGTGAACTCCATTACTTTCTTTGGGTCCATAATAACAGGTCACATTAAAGATAGTAAAATATCCCAAGGCACTTTGCAGCAATGTTTTCAAGCCAAATTTGACACTTCATCATGTGCAGGAGTTATTAAATGACTAATGGCTTGGTCAAAGAGGTATGAATTAAGGACATTGCAGAGACAATGATTTAGAAGAGAAATTTCAGAGTTCAGAGCTTCAACAGCTATAAAGCGATTAAAACCAGAGGCATGAGAAAGACCAGAATTAGTGTAGCACATACAAAGGTTGTAGACCTGCAGAAAACTTCAAAGAAAGAGGACCAAGAGGAGAGTTAAAAAACCATGTGGAAGTATTTTAAGATAACAAGGTGTAGAGCTTGATGAACACAGCAGGCCAAGCAGCATCAGAGGAGCAGGAAGGCTGACGTTTCGGGCCTAGACCCTTCTTC